CTCTTCCATGTGGTCATTTTTCTGGTCTAAGCATGGCCTTCCAGGAATTGGTCATGGACATGTTTTCATAAGCACAGGAAAGTGATTGCATTGCTCCAGTTAAAAGCTGAAGCCCCTTTTTCTTCTCCTCCCTGCAGGGTGCTACTCTCAGGTTGCAGTCCTGAAGACAGAAGAGATGGTCCCCATCAGGAGTTCAAGTTCTCGAGTGACCTTCTTGAGTAATGTCTTAGAAAGGCGAGCTTCTGCGGTAGCAGAGCTTCCTGCACGACATCTTGTACCTGTGGTAGGAATGTGGACCCTCTTCCTGCAGAGTGCCGTGTTCCAGTTCCAAGGAGCTCTCAATGGCTGCATCCTGAGGGAGGTGAGGGCCAAAAAGGGGTGAGGGAGGCAAGAGGAGCAGGGCCAAAAGGCCAGCCTCTTGTAGGCCAAAGATATTTCTACCAGTGACTTTGCACCTCAAGCTACCAATAGACTCCTTGTCAGGGAGGGTGGGCTGGAGCCAGAGAAGAGGCCCGGCTGTCTTGGGAAACCTGAAGGACTTGTCTGGGCCCCCTGGTGGCCAGATTCCAGCTTCGGGCCTGGGAGTGTACTCCCCTATCAAGCAACACCGCACATTTTCATTAAGCGAATCCTTCATGGTCAGTTGTCTGAATCGCAGTTGCTCATTCCCTTTCACTGATGTCGCTGTAAGGCCCAGCAAGCATCTCGTGCCTGTAATACTGTGTTCCCTTGCCCCTGGCATGCAAAAGGCACACCGCTCCCCTCCCTCCCTCTCACCTGTGAACAATATTGAGTACAGTTCTAGTGTAAGCCTGAACTCTGTTATATGCATGGGAGTTCACCATGGAAATCACACCTCCCAAATTTCAGATAGAAAGGAGCACTTGTCCAAGCATTTTCCTTGGACACAAGGTGGCTAAAAGCATGTGTTTGTGGTGGGGGGGATAAGGTGTGGACCCACAGCCTTTCCCCATGGGGTTGTAGGTTCCTCTGGCATATGCCCGGCAGTATTGCATATGGAGCTTGTTCCTCCCACATACACTTTAGGCAGCCTTTGTTGAGGTGAACATCTGAAGCGTTCATAGGAGCATATGGACCTAGGAAGGTGCCTAATCCTGAATCCACCCATTGGTTTGTCTAGGTCAGTCTTACCTGAGTTCCAGGTAGGATCCTTTTCCAACCCTACACGGAGATGCCATTGACTGAAGCTGGGCCCTCCAGCCTGCAGGGCATGTGTTTAGCCACTGAGCAATTTCCTGGCCCCAGAAATGAGAGTCAAGGCTCCAGCCCCTCACACGACGCTTCGTAAGAATGAATGAATGGGGGCTTATTAGTTTTCAGTTGCCCTCAGAATAAATTCACATGCCTCAGAGCTATGTTGAGAAATGGTGATTCCCGGCACCTTCTTCTCTTCCAGTAGGACCCTCATCACAGCAGCCACGGAGGAAATTTCCTGGGCCTACCCGTCTCTCCTCAAGCGGAGCATCACCAGCCGCTGATTGAATCTGTGCAGTTGTTCTTTAGACCCCGCCCCCCCGCCCTTCAGTTGCTCATGGCTGTTCTTCCTCTTCATCATACAAGAGAGGAAGGAACCCCACGGCACCCAATACACTATCTGCATTATTTCTACCATAACATACACCCACGTTCAAGACAGAATTTCCATTCCCAGTCTTGCTTGTCCTGCTTCTTCCATTTACTTTGTTCTAGCAAGCAAGTCATGCCTGCCTGTAGAAGCACAGCCCACACAGCATCTAGGTTTGGGGGTGGGGTCCCCAGAAAAAGCTCCTGCTGCTGGTTTCGGGGTGGGTGGGCCCTGTGAATCTGAATGGGCGGGTGCGCCCTCCTCTTTGAGAGTGCAGCAGACTGCCCTTTTTCAGTGGTTTGCATCTTGAAGAGCTAGGAAAAGGTGAGCAATGGGGCTTTCAACATCCTTCCTAATGGCCATCTACTTAAATCCTTTCTCTCTCTCTCTCCATCAATGGGTACAAGCAGAATTGCCACCGAAGGAGGTCTCCAGTCAGCTCCCCTGTCCTGGGAGGTGCTCCTGTTCCCTGCTGCCCTGAGTCTGAGAAGCAGTCCTCTCACGAGGACTCGCCACCTCCCTCTGCCACGGGGACAGCCACCTTCCACCTGCAGAGGTGGCATCACTTCTCCCGCAGCAGTGGGCAGACCTTCGTGCTCACAAAGAGTTGAGGCATGGGCACCTCTGCTGGGTCTGGGGAGCTTCCTCCTCTTTCCTGGCACTCCTTCTAAAACTCTTTTGGATCTTGGAGAGCCTAGAAAAAAACAAGGAATGGGGCTTTCGGCATCCTGCCCAGTCCGGCTCATCATGCCTGGACTGTCTGTGGCATGATCCAAACTCATCATAGCAAGATAAATATATACACAGAGATTGTTCCTATCTACACATGAGGGGATCAAACCAGGAAATCAAGTGTCTTTCCCATCCCAGCATGGTGCGATGTGGAGAGATGAGCATTCATGTGTTTTCCCGTGTGTATCTGTACATCTGAGTTGGGAAAGGCGTCTGTCCCCTCCAGCATCCTGGCACCTCCTCTGTCCGTCTGTTTCTGCTGCTTGACTCTGTCCCCAGCCCTCTCCTTCCGCATGGCATTCAGCTACAGTTTGGAGAAGCCCCTTCAGTGCTGTGGTGAAGCTGATGAAGTGTTTCTTCAGAGGATACATAACAGAATAAAACCAGAGAGGAGAGCATGGAGTTGCAGGACACAAGATGGCAGGGAGGCAGGCAGCTCATAGAGAAGAGCTGGACTATTTATGCCACAACATTTGCCTCCAACACCCGTGCAAGGCTTCTGGACGATTCATCCCAGTCCTGCAGGTGTGGCCCGACCATTTGGCAGGTAGCTCAGGTGGGGCATGCTGCGGGACGCAGAGCCATGTGCGGTGCTGGCGGAGAGAGCAGTGTGTGCCATGTGGCCAGCAGACCCGCTGCCCTCCTAAGGGATGACTGCCAGCCCAGGCCAGCTGAGGGAAGCAGCAGTGGTCAGCCCGGATAGCCGCTGTGCCTGGAACAGCTGGCCCGGAGCCACACACCGCCCCGTGACTAGCCCACCCGAACACAAATTGAGGCCTGTCCCCGGCTGCTGAACAAGGCAGTTCTGGCTCGGGGACTGCAAACTAAGGCAGCCCCTTGTGTGCGGCCAAGAAAGAAGGAAATGTATCTGTTGCCAGAGAAGGGAGGGCACCAATTTGGATGGCATTTGGATCTGCTAAGTTATATGTACAAATGCAAATCTAGTATTTAAATAGACACACAGAGCATCTTCACACAGGAAGGAAAACTAGACAGGGGCTTGGCCTGCTGTCCCCATGCTCACTGCAAACCGGCAATCTTTTCTCACGACCTGTGACAGGCTCTGCCTGCTTCTGGTACTTTGGTTTAAACCAGGCTTGGACGGGGAGCCCATTGGAGGGCCCCATCAAATAGAGGGCTTCCCATGGACAGCTCTTTCCATGCAAAGCAGGATGTCTAGCTATCACGCCACAAACAGAGGGGTCGTCAAGCAGGCAGAGGCAGCCGGTGGCCTGCATTCAGCTGGCGGGTTGAATGTTGCGTAAGCCTTATGCAGTTCATGAACCAAATTTGGTTGTTGCATGCCCAGACTTTCCTAGCTAGTTTCACAAGGAAGCCACCTGTGCTTGGTGCTCATAGCCAAAAATACATTTTGCAACAACAAGTCGCAGCTCCTGTGATGGCTGCTGAATGCTGACTATATCCCTGGAGTACAGATTTTCAGTTTCCATTTTCTAGGGAGGCTAAGAAAGGGTGTGCCTCTTTAAAAGGAAAAAGATCCCAACTGCAGAGCATGTTTGAAATTCAGAAAGCTGAGAAGAGAAAACCTGCAGGCAGGCAGGGCTTAAGACATCCTGGGCAGGAAGGAGGTAGCTGACAACAAGGGTGGCTAATGGAAGCAGCAGGGGGAAAGGGGGGATACAGTGGGAGGTGGGGGGGCTGAGGACGTGGGGTTGGTGCTAAATCTCATGTAGGAGGCATGGACTGGTTCTGTTGGTAGGAAGGGGGTGGGTGGGAAACTGGATGCTGAAGCACTGCTCTATGGTTAGAGTTTACGCTTTAGTGGCACCCCCTTAGCATTAAGGAGTTGGAAATTTGGGGCTTGCCCTAAGATCACATGACCTGGCATCACCTAAGTCCTGTCGGCCACTGCAGGAGTCACTCTGAAAGGCTGTTAAGCACAAAGAGATCTGTCAAGCCATGCCTTATTCCTCTATCTTGGTTCAGGACCCAGAAACACTGCATGGTATAAAAGGTAGAGGATGGGGCAGGCACAGAATTAATTCTGTTGTGTGCAGCCACAAGGGAGCCCAGGGCTTGGCACAGCATTGCCAGCAAGGGCCGAGATGTTTGTACATGGGTCTGCTGGGGGTGGGAGATGGGGAGACTTAATTGCCTTCAATGAGTCATTCATATTTGCAGTGAAGAGTGGGACCTGGGGATGCCCATTTTGGGTTGGGACTCTGCAAGATGCAAGCCATCCTGAGGCATTTGTAGTGGACGGGTTACATGACCTGGTTAGAAAAGCTTTTAATAAATAATAAATAAATCAGATGCATGGGGCAGAGGTGGCACAACCGTTCTGCTTTGCCTAGTTCCACAGTGGCTGCATTCTTCCTCCCAAGAGGCACACTTGCCAAGCATGAGGGAGACAGACAAGGAACAGGAGGATGAAGCCTGGCCTGTTGCAGGATTACAGCCCACAGAATGGCTGCACATCTAAAGTGTGTTCTAGCTCTGCTCAATACCTGTTCTCTGTTGAAGGAGCTGGGGGGCAGGGGCGGGTGTTCTGCAATTTCTTTTCTGGGACATAGTTCAGGCCAGGATGCAGGTTACAACCGAACTTATTTGATCTGGAAGCAAGCAAGCAAGCAAGCAAGCAGAGGTGTTGAGAAAAAGGAGCATGAATAAACCAAGATAAAATGGAACAGTCATCAAAGAGCTTGATTTCCTGTTTGCAACGAAGAGGTTTGACGTGTCTGCATTTTTGTGCTAGTATGAGGAAAGGATGAGAACAAGAGTGGTGAGGTGGCTTGCTCTTGACCCAAGAGGGTGATTTTCTTTTGCCCCATCTCACTCTGTGGCTCCGTTTCTGGGGGATCAAGATGTCCTGCCCACCTTTTAATACCATGATCTTCTGGATCTTTCTTAGCACACTCAGCATTATTCACCTTGCTTGCACAACAGGTAAACCATTCTCTTTCTCTCTCTGATGCACCGTGCAGGAAATCTCTCAGACTGTTTTAAAATTTTGGAAGTAAGACTGTGTCCTATGCACACATAGTTGTGGATGGGATCCAGTCTTATGCACACTTACTTTGGTGTAAAGCCCATTCATTCCGTGGGACTTCTGAACAAGCTTGTTTAGGATTGGGTTGCCCTGGGCTCAGAATAATGGAGGGTTGAAAATAAGGGTACCATCCCTGGGCACTAATAAAGTGTCACCATCACTTAACTTAAAGTGTCACTTTAATCACTATAAATTATGTTCATAGAGGACTTTCAGGGCACATGAAAACTTCTTTCTTTTAATTGCCGAAGTTAAGTAGGTCTTTGCCTTGGGCGAAAAACCAGCAGGGGACCATAGATAAAATGCCCTGAGATTCTAGAAGGGAGAGCAGGGTATAAGTGGAATGAATGTATTCATAACTGAACAGCCTGGGCAGAGTTGTAGTTGAAGGTTTCCTTAGAAGTGCAGCTCCATACTCTGGTTTTCTCCAACCTGGTGTGCTCCAGGTATTCTCAGCTACAGCTTCTGTCCCTCCAGCCAGCAATCAAGGTGGCTGGGGATGATAGGAGCTATAGCCTAGCACATCTGGAGGGTGCCAGCTTTGGGAAAAGCTGCCAGACATAAATTGGAAATTATTCCCTTGGCATGTAAAAGTGCAGAAACCTAAACCTCATTCTTGGCTCTTCTCTTCAAACATCTGTTTTATACAGAATATCTAGTGTTAAAGCTGCATAAAAGAATATTTGTTTTATTGATATTGTTTGTTGATTTGTTTTATCTATTGACTGTTTTTCATCAATCGATGAAAAATTAGGGGACAGTTTGGTCACAAGTCCTTTGGGGAGAATAATGCCCTTACTGACTGAGCATAAACTAATATCTGAAATAAACTGCATTTGTATGGATTCCAAATAGCAGAAGCATTCTGCTTGAGAACTTAAGACTTTAGTGCATCTTTCAGACTTTGAATTATTCCTGCTTAGCCGTCTCTTTTTCTTGTTAGCACCACCTGAATGTGATTTTTACAGGTGTCACATCAGTTCTGGGGGCACATTAGAATGCCAGGACTTTTACAAATTATTATTAACTAAGGTGATTTCAAATTCCCGAAGCCTTTAAAGTATGTCTCCATCTTTTACAGTTTCTTCTAAATGGCAACATAATGTACATATAGACTAGGTACAGACAACACGATAACCCACACTCATGGGTTGAGTGCAAGTTGTCGTTGAACTGTGGGGTGTAGTTGAAACATGGATTATTATGTAGGGATAATGGTGTGTGGTGAACAAGCCACCAATGGGTTCTCTCCATTAGTTGTTCATGGTTAAGAAGCCATGGTCGCTAGCACAGCTGGGTTCACACAATGTGATAACCCTCATATTTGTTTGAGATACTGCATTGTCTGAACCCACAGGAAGAACGACAAAAATGAAACAAACTTTTCCTCTGAGCGATCGCCAGCAAGGTTATAGTTAAAGGCTTGTTGTTGTTACAAGCCATCAGGTTGTCTCTGGCTTAGGGTGACCCTATGAATAAAGGCCTTCCAAAACACCCTGTCCTTGAAAGCCCTGCTCAGCTCTTGTAAATCAAGGCTGTGGCTTTCTTTACAAAATTGATCTGTCTCATATGTGGTTTTCTCCTTTTGCCTTCAACTTTCCCAAGCCCAATGGTCTTGGCCAATGAATCTTGCCTTCTCATGATGTGCCAAAATATGGTAGCTTCAGTTTTGTCACTTCTGCTTCCAGGACAAGTTCTGGCTTGTTTTGATCTATTATTTTTAAAGGTATTACTTTCAAACAGGAGACATAAAATCTTAAATTTTGGCATCGTAAGATCCTTCCCATTGTTTTCATTTTCTGTCTTGATTAAAGGTTTAGCATGTCTTTATGCTTGGTTATCTCAAGAGCTCCTTATAGCTCTTCCAGGGGAGATAATTCTCAGCTTGCTGCATCAAACTGACCACTGGCGTTGAGATACCATACACTGATGATTAAAAAAGCAAGTGGGCAGCAACAAGCTTTAAATGGCAGATAATATTTATTTAGTGACCACTGAGGGCCAAGTCAGGCTTAAGGTGGTACAGTGGATGCATCACCCCCAAGTTCAAGTCATTGTTCTGTAATGCACTTGTTTTAGGATACCCTTAGCAAGTGTTGGCCTCAGTGTTTCATTAGCAAAATGGCTGTTATGGAGGTGAAACCAGTAGTGCTTCAGTTAAGATGCAGGCAAAGCCAGTGTGCAAGAAGGGCTGTTGTATTTTGGGTGAGAAGATTCATTTCAAAATCTAGCTGGAAAATCTGGGTCATACAAATATTCTGCAGGGGAAACTAGCCAATGCAGAAGTCAGGGGAGGGGGGGCAGCCACATTCTAATTGTATCCAGTCCCCAGAGTAAATTAAGTATTTCCCCACTTGTGTCAATTGCAAATATTTCTGGGCTGTAATGCTGAACTCTCTTAGTTGGACTCACACAAACCTCTGATCTCATCCATAAAGATTTCTGGATTTAGATTTCTTGAGTCCCATTAATTTTTGTATTTTTGTTTTGATTATATTATTGTACTTTGTAATTGAATTTGTGTTATTTCTGTTTTATTGTAAGCTTCCCAGAGAGCCCTATGGATTATCGAGTGGCATACAAATGTAATGATAATGATGATAATGATGCCTTTCTGGGGGACATCAAAGTCCATCTACTTGAGCATTTTATTCAAACATTACCAACTGGAGGCATCTGGAAGCTTTTGGGAGGGTATGAAGGAGATGGCAACACCACAATGCTTGTCATCAGCATCCACTGCGCAGCGACACCCTGTACCTTTCCTAGTTAATAAGCACTGACAAGCTTATATCCCATCTAATTGGCATCTAATCTGGTCACAGTGGTCCGTTTTTGGGAGGCGGCTTGAAAAGCTCCTCCATGGCTTATCTGCCTGCCCTTCAGTAAATTGTGAGCATGTGTCCTCCATCATTAGATAATGTGAGGAAGGGGCGTTAACTTTTTTGCCCTGCACCATTTTTCCAGCCTGGATAGCTCTCCTGCTCCAGACTATGCTTACACAGGCACTCACACAGAGTCTGCATGGGCAAACAGCAGGGGGGATTTTCACTGAGAAAAGGGCTACTACCCCTCCCCTGCTGCCCCTCACACATACCACAGTCCTGATGCAATATTTTTAAGTCAGGAGATTCGGTCATTGATCTGCTGCCTTCTCATTCAGCTTTGGGCCAAGCGCTAGGGCCCACGCAGCCACAACAGTTCCCCATGGACTTAAAATGAACCACCTCATGCTGTTGCATTATGGGAAGTTTGCTCTCAAGTGGTCCAGCAAGGACAAATTTTATCCGACAGCTCATACTACAAATGCAATTACATAGCATTTCTTCTGGTGTTCTGAGCAAACTGGTAATACTGATTTTACTTTTATAAACCAGGATGAGATGAATTATCTCGCTTAACACTGCTAAAAGGCACAATGTAGCAATTCCATGGAAATATTCTGCTGCCATTCACTTTTTGTCAACAACCCCTGGTTAGTTGACTCTCCCCCTCGCTTGTAATCTTTTGCCTTGTAATTCGTGCTTCCTGATTAAACCAGGAATGACTAGTTCGCAATGGATTTTCTGCAAAGTTGTAGAACAGCATTGGAGCTCCCAGTGTTTATTCTTATCTCCAGTGGTCCCTAAAATGTGCAGCAGAATGATTGTTCCTGTAGACTCAAGGTCAACGGTAAGCCTTACTCTTAAGGCAGCAGTCAAAAAAATATTTCTGTCCCTGTATGGTAGGCCAGCAGTGTTATCCTCATAGGGTGAACTTGCTTTTTATCCTTGGCAACTCAGCATCAGTTCCCTTTCCCCTCCTCCTTCATTTTAGTACGAAGACTATAGTATTGGTGATTGGACAGGGGGGAAAGGCGAAAGGAAAACCTTAATCACGCATTTCCACTGAGACCTATTTATGGAAACAGAGCAGTGGCCTATAAGTGTTTGAGCTCCATTTCCTAATCTGAGCAGTTTATCTCTTAAAACTCTTGAGCAGAAGCAAACCAAAGGTTCTGGCCTGCTGGCCATTATGGATTCTTTGGCTTTCAATTGCATACAATGAAGCTGGTCATGCTGTGGGGACAGACAGTGTGGCCCCATGAAGTCTGCAGCCCTCTGCTGGCTACAGACTCCTATAACAAATGTCAGGTGCTTGGGGCAGTTGGAATTCCTGGTCAGAAGTTGAGATGATGCCCCCAGGCTGAGAGGGCTTTAAAAAGGGATTGTGAAGTTTCTTGGAAGGTGGGTTCATTGATGGCTGTTCCTCAAAATAAATAAAGGGCACCTCTAGATTCAGAGGCAACTCCAGTTGCTGGGATGGTGGTGATGGTGGGGAACACTGGAGCAAAGCTGTCATATGCAAGCCTTGTTTGGGAGTGTGCCAGAAATACCCTGGTGGCCATGACTGAAAACAGGAAGCGGTATGTTTCTTATGCAATTATGAAGGGCAAACTAGTTGAAGATAATGATGGCTGAGGCATTTTTTTCTTTTTCCAGGTTTGTAGGGAGGGTAAGGTTTCTGCAGAGAGACAGGCAGAGGCAGAGGGAGAGAGAAAGAAAGATACAACTAAGCAACAAACTGCTTTTCTTTTTATCCTTGGGGTCTGGATGTGCAAATGTGGCTGTACAACCTTATTAACATCCCACAGCCAATTTGCCTAGCAGACTAATAGTGTGTGTGTATTTTGTTATGCTTCTATGTAAGCAGCTTTTGATGCACTCTGTATTTTTTTAAGAAATCTTGTTCAGTTCCAGATTCTGGGAATAACTCCTAGTGAGTTGTATGCATGTTCCTGTGTCAATCAAAGTGCTGCATATGGATAAATTTAGCCTTGCAGCAAACTCTGGACTTGCACTCATAAATACTGGAATAAAGCTGGTTCCTTCTCAACAATTGCTGGATTAACTTGTAA